ATTAGCTGTTTCAGGAGTAAAAAATTGGGAATTTGGGTTATCAAGAGAAGACAGAAAGGTTTTCTATACTTTTCTGTCATAAATGTCAGAATATAGGCCAGTTTTATTATTCTGATTTGCCTACTTTTCAAGTGATTCTTCGAAACCCAGATGCTAATACATGGTAATTAATTAGAACTTCAATGATGGTATCAGAAATATCATTTTGGGCCTTTCGATAATTCCATTATATAATGGGACCTTCATTAGCAATTCTAACCTACATGATTTACGTTAGTTCTGTATCAAATAATTTTGAAATTTAACGTGAGTGTATTTAAACCCGATAAATGTCTGATTGTTTTGATTTTGTGCCAAAATTTCTATAACATTATATAATGTATTACAGCTTAGGCAAACTGCGTATGTTTTATCTTATTTACTGATTTCTAATGAATTTCTCACTGTGTAAGCGCTTTTTAGAAAATCTTTAAACTTTTTGCAATTTTCATCAATTAGAATCATTCTGATAAATTTAATTAATGAATCAATAGCAGTATCTAAAATACGAAATCTAAACTGAAATTTGAGAATCTATAACAATATTCACGAATTATCAATTTTATTAGTGTCAACAGTTTTTAGTTCAAAATCTTCAATATTTGAAGCAGTAAATCATTCAAACAGAATCTCATCTTCATTCAAGCTCTAACTATTATCTTCTGTAGAATCCTTATCAATCATTACGTTAAAATCTTCTTCACTATCTTCTTTACTATCTTCTTTAGTTAGAACTGATTCACATTCAATATTCTGACCTGAATTCATATTATAAAACTTATTTTAATACTTTCGTTTCTTTGGAACATCAATCAGTTCCTGATCAGTTATTAGATTTGATTCATCATCAAAAGAATAACTATTTGGTAAAGTTTGATTTTCTTCAGTTTGTCTAACTTTTTCTGATCTAACTTTTTACTTTTTTCTTCTTTTTGATGATGATGTTCTTACATCAACCGGTTTGCTCTTGATACTCTTTAATTGAGAAGAATCCTGAGATCCAGAAGTAATAGCACAAAACTGATCTATTTCTTGCTGATATCTTTTAAATGTTTTAGGATCAACCCATTTACTACTATGGCAATGCAATATACAATTACATTTAACCAATTTTCTTGTTCTATGATTAATATTAATGTCTTTCGTACGATCTTTATTAATAAAATTTTTCTTTGATCTTGTCATTTTGATGAAAAATAATATATAACGATAAAGTTTAAATTCCGTAAAATTTTTGAACGTGTGAAATTTTTAAATGTCATTAAGGGTTTATATATCAATTAATTATTATGATATCATCAATCAATATAAGAACATTAATATCATCAATCAGTAAGAAAAAAAAATCATATGGAATACATTAATCAGCATTAATATCATCAATCAAGAAAGGAACTTTAATTATTATTTATTAATCAACCATATACTACAAAAAATTTGTATTAAAAAAGTATTAGTCGTCATACTTGTTCCTACTATACTAACTATAGTATCAAAAGTATACTTATTGATACACGTTTGAAATGTATAAATAAGCTACATTTTTGTAAATATTCTTTTAACCACTTTTCTTTCTTCTTCTAAACACTTTTCTTTCTTCTTTACCTTCTTATTACTGATTTACTATTGTTAACGTTAATATAGATCTTCAATAGCAATATTAATATGATCAGTAATAAGAAGTCCATTAAACGTCATATTTTGGATAGAGAGTCTTTTTCTAATAATGAATCATCAAGAAATAGTAATAAGAGCAATAAATGAAATAAGTCTGATGCTCTGAAAGAACAAAAGAACGATAGAAAATAATGGTAGATTTGAATCTAAATCAGTTTATTTCTAATATATTATTTTATTATTTATTTTAATTATTAATAATTACATCTAGCGACTCTGGACCTAATGACCCTGAGTTTAGTAATTCTGATCCTGATGAGGAAAATCATTACCAACAGAAGCAATAAAAGCAACAGAAGCTAATGTAAATAAAAATGATGATCAAATCAGCATATTTATTTATTTTGTTATGCATTTTTACAAAAAACATTAACTTTATTGGTATAAAATGCATGAAATACTACATATGACTTATATAATGTACATTTGCTATATATTGTTAATCATCCCGATTTGATATACCTTATTTGTAATAAAATTAACTTTCTTTTTTAAAATATAATAGATTCTTTACAAACTCAAGTAGACCAAATTAAAAGATTACTAGAAACCTTAGTAAAAAAAGACAAAGGTAAACAAAAGGAGGTCCCAAAGAATTATCAAAAAGAATAAGAAAAAGTAGCAAGCTGAAAAAACTGATATACTCATTATCAAGAAAAATCAGCAAGCCAATATGCTTCACCTCAAAATAAATCAAATAAAAGAAATATTAGATATAGACAGGCTGGTTCTTTAAAAAATATTGGATATAGATAACAGGCTGGTTCTTTGAAAAGATCACAATCACAATCATGAAAAGAACATTCAGAATCAAGCAATTAGTCTCCCTCTTCTTCACCTTCACCTTCATCTTCAGGTTCTTCTAGTCCAATATATTTTTATTATGATGACATAGATAGGGAGTTACGTAATGCTTTGAGGGTAACACATTTTCTTTTTTATTTTTTTTTATTTGTGTAAATTGTTGCCTAACCGATTTGTATCTAAATAGACTGAAATCTTTGGTATAATTGATAGATTTTCAGAAAACCAAAGATTGGATATCAACAAGACTTTTGAAAGTTAACGAAAGACCGTTAATAATAATATAATACCAATTATTCAAAAATCGATTAAGAGGAAATTTTCAGTTTTTGATGGTGTCATAAAGCATATAATTCACGAAAAACACTATCATCAGAAAGAGAAACATCTCAAAGAAAACAAAGGACCAAATTGGAATGATGTAGAAAAATAAAGGAAATATGCAAATGTGAGACGTAATGAAGTAAGTAAAAAATCGTGTTATTTATTTTCTACCTTTTTTAATCTTTTTATTATTTAGAAATGAGAGCACTATATGAAAATGATTAACAAATAAATAAGGTTAAAAGATCGTTTGATTGAAAAAATTCACAATCATGAACTTTAACTGATTTGAACTAACAACTATTATCACAGTCTAGAAGAATCAGAAACTGACGAAGAAAATGATAAAGAAAAATTATTGTCAAAAATATACAATAATGATCTTCTACTGTGATTTTATTTAATTAATTTATTTTTTTTACTAATCAGTATGTTATGCTAATTTAAGTTTTTTTTAAAAAAAAATAGTTACGTAATTTTTTGAGAAATTATATTGATACTATAATATCAAAAGATCTCAGAACTAGAAAGCGAATTTATAACAATAATGGATTTGCAACCGGTGAAGATAAAAGCTCCTATGAATGTTTCAAATTGAACTCATAAAGAATATAATAGCTTACTAAGTTATTACTTTTGCAAAAATAATGAGAATAGAGATCAGGAAGATAATGATAAGAATGATAATGATGAGAATGATAAAGATAAGGGTAATAAGAATAATAATGATGACAATGATGATAATAATAATAAAAAGGATCAGAAGGGAAGATGATGATAATAGAGGCCAAAGAAGTAAAAGTCTTTTATTAGAAAAATATGATAGCAATATTACTGATACTGACTAATAAATACCATAATAATAAATTTAGTAATTTTATAAAAATAATCTTGTATTATTTCACTATGTAATTAAAATAAATTGCAATAAATCAAAAAACTTCAAATTATACAAAATATACAAATAGTATCAATCAGAAGATTTATTATTGAATAAAATTAGCTTAAAAGTTATCAATCAATATGTTGATAATTAGATAAAATATTATAAATCAGATGTGTTTCTATTGGCCTAAAAGATATCAATCAGTATACTAATTATACCAATAGTAAGACAATCCTATTAGAACCCATTGGAACCTGAATGATCTCTTTTGACGCCAATTTCTGACGCCAATCAGGATATCTGATTGAATATTAATAAAAAAAATAGGAGACCAATAGGGTCAAATTTGGCAACCTTACTAATCTCCTATTTGACATTATTCAACCTGTATAAGCTGTTGCATAATATAGTATTTTATTTTCTTTCTATTTTTAAATAATGTAAAGTTATTTTTATTTTATAATTTTTTATTATTAAATCAATTAATATTATTTCTTTTATTATATTTCTTGATTTTATTTTTATTCAATTTTTACGATTGCATTGAATGCTACATCATTTAAATAAGTAAGTTATTTTTTTTTATTTTTTATTTTTTTTATTTTTAACTTTATTGTTATATTATTTCTTTATACAAATTATAAAAATTATTATTTTTTGTAAATAATAAATTAGTTTTTTCAAATATTAATTGATTAATTCAAACATTTATATATTATAGACTGTATTTTTAAACTTTAATTATAGAAAGAAGAATAATTAATTATTTTTACATTATATATAAAAATTTCATTTAAAGTAGCCAAGAAAATTAAATAAAAATAAACAGTTAAAAAAAAAAAGATAAAAATTATATTATTTAAAATGGATTGCTTATTTTTGTAAATAATAGATTCTTTATACAGTCAGACCTCTCTAAATACACCCCTTTGGGACTGAGTAAAAGAGTGCATTTAGAGAGGGTATGTATTAATGGAAAATATACATTTTAACAAATTTTTATAATATAATCACTCACCTTTGAACGATCCAATGCTTGAGAATC